AAAGATAATAAAAGAGACAACCAATAGAAAGATCAATCATAATTAAGAATGTACCTAAAACTCATCTTGATTCCGACTGCATCGCCCATTGTCTCTTCGACCGTTTGATTTCCGTTGATCTGTAAATGTTCAAAACACACATCACCATCGTCATCATCATCATCATATCCACATCGAAATCATCATAATAATAGTGGCCGTCATCGTTATCATCATCATCGTCATCATCAAAATCATCATAATAGTAGTGGCCGTCATCGTTATCGTCTTTATCGTCATCATTGTCTTAGTCGTCATCATCGTCGATACCCTCACAGTCATTATCTTCATCATATTATTATTCATCCTTTTATCATCACACACATGTTAAACACACACACACACACACACACACACACACACATCATTGTTATCCTCACCATCATCACCATCATCGAAATCATTATGATTATAATAGTGATCGTCATCGTCTTTATCATCTGTATTGTCTTAGTCGTCAACATATTCGATACCCTCACTGTCATCATCTTTATCATCATTATATTCATCCTTTTATCATCATACACATGTTAAACACACACACACACACACAAACACACATCGTCATTATCATCACCATCTTCAAAATCACCATGATAACAGCAGTGATCGTCATCGTCATCTCTTCTGTCCTCCACATCATCTTCACCAATATCGTCATCCTTATTATCACCATCATGGTTTCTCCCTGTGCAGGTTCAGGGACGCACAATTGCGGGGCATAAAATATTAGACCCACAGCCCCAGAACAAGCGTATCGTAAAAGTCGACTAATTCAGGGTGCTTCCTTCGAAACCGGTGTGCATCTGACTGAGAAACGACCAAATAACATTCTGCATACAAATAAACTGGGTCTGTAAAACGGATGTGCACGCAAAACTTAAATTGTAAAACAAGAAGAAAGTCCTCAAGTGGATGAAAACCAGGACATTCCGTTTAAGTTGACAGACGGTGAACGCAAACAAAGAAGATGATGAACATGCTTCGTCGACATCAACAACAACATCGACATCTTCATCACCAGCACTAGCACCATCATGAAGGATTGAACAAACGGACTGGCTAACTGGTAGAGCCACGGTAGGTACGGGAAAAGCAATGGATCGGGCATACATTCTCAACGCTGTCAAGCAAGCAGTAGGAGAACGTGATTTACGAGACGACGCTGAATGGACAACATTGAAAAGACTACAAGAAATTCTGGTCAAAATAGGTGTCGCCAAACATGAACACAATACAGGCAGCCAAAGAAGAATAGTAAAATAACACACAGCTGGTGTTATCAGTCGTCATACACTGAGGGGTATACTGAAGATATGATCCGAGCGCGTAGCGACTTGTCCCTTGTGCAGTGAAGATAATCTGTCTTAACTAGTGAAAACGGAAATGAGATGCATGAGAAGGCCGCTGGACTGACCAGATGAGTTAAAATCAGGAATGATCTCATAAAAGATAACCAATTTAAAATTAAATACAAAGAGAACAAAATCAAGAGGTCTGCACACTTGAAGAGAGAATGCCTTGTAATCCCATACCATATAAGGCTTACACGAAAACAAAAATGAGAATGACGTAGATCACGAGGTAGACCAAGAACAATGTAGAAAGATAATATCAGAAAAACTCTACAACAGCATGATATGTCTATGATCGAGGCGGGGAGAAAAAAAAAACCTTATATCTTCCTCGAGACATAAAGAGGCAAAAGAGGAAGTGAAGAGGACGAGAAGAGAAAAATGCAGAAATTTTAACTTTAGTTAGTAAATTGGGAAAAAAAAATTACAACCATGTTGATGTCAGTAATAAGATAAAACAGTGTTATAGAATATAGATAAAGGATAGAAACAGACTTTCTTAGTCATATTGATTTCAATAATAACAACAATAAAGTCACTGTTTACTCTCATGTTGATGCAAAAGTTAAAGACTTAGCTCTTGAAATATTCTGCAGTTATCTACACTTATGGGTTATCCCTGTGCCGTGTGTTGATCCTTTTTTTCAAACCTCTTCTTTTTTCTTCTTTTTTTCTTCTTTTTTTCTTCACTTCCCCTTTTCCGTGTGGGTGTCGGGGAGATATAAGGGTTTTGTTTCTAGCTCTTTTGCCCTCGCCATGGCCCTCGTGCTGTTGTAGGTTCTCGATGTTTTTCCTTCCATCTTTTTTTTGGCTACCCCCTCTTACGTCCTTTTCTTCCATGTATGCTTTTTTATGGAGGGTCACAAGGGATTCTCTAAAGGGGGGGAAACCATTTACTTGTGTCTTTGTATTAATCCAGAAATTTGGGTTTTGTGCCGATTGTTCTTTATGATTCCCCTTCTGATTTTCTCTTATGGTCACTCCTCCCCTTTTCGAATCTCATTTCCGTGGTTTTCTATTTTTTTTTATGTTTGTTTTTGGGGTGACCAGTCTGGCACTGGAACAGAGTTTTGGAATAAATATGCTTTTATAAGGTCTCTTTGTGC